CAAAATTCCACTTATCATTGCTTATTTTCCACTAACAGTCCAATATACTTTAGTTATAGTTTGTAAATTAGTTTAGTAAGTAATTTTAATGTAGCACAGTGTCAGCAAAACATTTACTATTCTCGCGCTTCGCGTGATGTCACACTGCACAGTCGCCGCCATTTTGAGGACCGAATCAGGGAGTGACTGTGCTGCACGGCGCCTTCAATTAGCTGTGTTTTGTGAATGATTCACCTGTAAGAAGCAACAGAAGCTGAGAATGACAAGATCTTAATTCAGTGTTTTCACTCCAGGCTTGGAGTCGCTGCACTGTATAGTTCAGTGTCTCTCTCTGCTGTTCACCTCGTTCAGCTCAAGAAGGGATTAATCAGCTAATAATATCAGGTATTTTAACCAGCAAACCACAGTTATGCAGTGCAGGGTTTCAGGACTGGAGCTGAACTCTGAACTAACTGAACTAGCAAACTTACAGAATCACGTCTGTCGAAACACGACGTTGTTTTCAGACCCACGACATTCAGTCTGATATTTAACGTTCATGTTTCTCCATTCAAACGTCATTTAACCTCTTCAACTCCTTGGGACCACCGGGGGTTCCAAAACGCACTTCGTCATATTTTTCACAACTTGCATATTTCATAAGCTACATTCTAAAGGTGGGGGGCGTATGAGGCTGTAACTGTCTTCTGTCCAGTCAAATAGATGGGTGATGTATTTTTAAGCCCTTATAATAAAAGAAGCTGAACTCTGTTTTTTTTTTCTACTGAAAGTCGACCCATTTTTCCACAAATCTGGGCTGAAAACTATAAAACAGATGGCGTCTCTTCACTGATCTGCTCTGTAAAAATAATTTTTATAAAAAAATACAAAGAGCGTCTAAGATTTTTGGCTTTCAGCAGTAAACTGTAAGCATATAGCAATATAATAATAATAATAATAATAATAAAAATAAAATAAAAATTGATTTATTTCATGCAGTTACTGAATAATTTGTAAATTCAGAACAAACCAAAATATACCCTGGTCAATAAGAGGTTCATGGACCAAGTCACTAAAAACCATTGTGCTGCGAATGGACTGTTATGCTTGGACCACCAAGTGCACTGATAGATGAAGTAAGACCCCCATTTTGTTAAAAGGAGTGGCTGACAACTTATTTTCTTAACCCTCCTGTTATCTTCAAATTTACTAGCATTTTTTATCCCTGGGGTCACCACTTCAGTTCTGGTGGTTGTCGCACTACTGCACGTGTGGTTATATTAGGTTAGCAGAAGTTCTTTTGAAGGTTATACAATTGCATGTTATAGTGACCTCAGTATCGTCCAAAGCAGTCAAAACAAATGTGTGTAAAATGTTGATATTTCTTCTGTTTTATTCAGCTAAAACAGCCTGGGGTCAAACTGACCCCTAAGACCACTGATGATGTGTACAAAATGTGTACAGGACATTAAAAACACATCCTCATGTTCTTTTTTTTATGTTTACCCAGTTGTCCCCATTTAATTAGGAAAATACATTAAATATGAAACCAAAAATGGTCAGTCATTTATTTAGAGATATTAAACACTGAATGGGGTCAAATTGACCCCAAAGATAATAAGAGGATTAAACAAATTGTTCGGTGAAAAATCGAATTTCCCAAATTTCCCACCAACTTCAGATCCAAGTCCAAATTTTGCTTATTTTGTTTAGAATTGGAGCGGCAAGGCTAACACTGCTAACACTAGAACTCAATAGACACCCAAATAGTTTCTGTAGACTTTTCTCAAACTGAATCCATTTGAAACTGACCATCATTAAGGTTGCACAGATTTGTCGATGTGATTTAGGCTAAAAATGAACTAAATGTCTCCGTTACAGGCAGCCATCTTTCAGACACCACAGGGCTGATATTCACAAAGCGCCATATTCAGGACGGTCATTGTAGATCAGCATTCTGACTCCTGAGGTGGTTTGTGAATACAGACACTGTTGTCTAAAGTTGCTGCCCACAGTTTTGTTCCCCTTTTATAGCTCACAGTAAATCACTGTGTTCTAAACCACATTGACAAGTCTGTGCGACCTTAATGAAGACCTGGACGCAGTCTGAGTCTGAGTGGGTTAAAAGAAGTTTTGTTAATATATCTTAATAGAAGCAATTTGGGCTGTTTGGGTGACTATTGAGTTCTAGTGTTTGTTAGCTTTGCTGCTCCAGGTCTAAACAAAGCAACAATCTGGAACATGTCCCGGCTGATCGGCTACATCTGGAGTAAGTGAACCATTCCTTTAATAATGAGGCTAAAAGAGAGCGAGCTGCATGAGCTAAACGTTAGCAAACAGGCTAATCTGCTCCTCCAGTAATATTCACTGTTAGGCTTTGAATTGAAGTATTTGCTGAACAATTCTGTGAAACTGCAAAATAAATAGGCAGCATGCAATATAAAGTAAAAAATATATCATTTGAGTGTCTTATAAAATCCATATATGTTTTTAGTAAATCTGTTTAACGTTGACATATTAAACCCAGAATGGCAAATCAAATGTTTGGCACCATTAACTTTCTGCTAACATAAAACAGGAAATCTCACTGAGGTGCTAGTAGATATTAGTATCATCGTTGCGGGGGGTAAAAACAGTTTAGGCACCCCTTGTCAATTACAAGCGAACACACCTTCGGCCCCCCGGGACAAAAAGTTGCTTTAAGCAAGCTGCATTTCTTGGCAGCAGATTGGTCCATTGTGTTCATTATTAATCCTAACTTAAATTATTTATTGAAAGTTGGGGTATTTCATCGTGTTTTATGTTGTTGCTGTTTTATAAAAGCAATACAGACTTCAGGCTGTGTTACAATGACTTAACCGTGGCAAAGGGTTAGGGTTAGGTTAGGGTTACTCCACTTCACATTGTGCCTAACAACCTCCCTTACCTGTGACATCACAGTAACGCACAGCCTCTTCAGGCTTATTGCTTAAGTAAATGCTAGTTGTAGGCCAGAATGCCAGAACGAGGTATTTAGAACAGTGTTTGTGAGATGCTGTGATTTTTAAAGCACTATATGTGTGAGTGTTGTGGAGGTTTCGGTCAAATCATGATCACACGCACAGTATTTCATCACGCTGAAGTCAGCGCAGCGTGTGCTGAGAGAATGAGGCTGAGATTAAGGAAAGTATTTTGGCTGCTCCTCTATCAGTGTGTGTGTACTGGAGGTTTGCTGTTTTGAATCAGGTTGCATAACGTGGTTTGTTTTTCCCCTTTTTCACTCGTTTTCATTCTTTTCCAGCACATTCAGCAGCACATGCTTCATAATCAGGAGCGTGTCACGCTGCAGAGGTTTTCAAATCAACCAGAGCATCAATTATCCATAAATTCACCTGCATGAAACGATCAAAAATCAAAACAAAACAAAAAAAAAAACGTTCCGACGATTAAAGCATGTTCAAACAGCAGAACAAATGAAGTCCATTGTTTACACTTTGTGATGAAGTTTATTAATGGATCAAAGCAGTAAGGCACCAGTTACACAAACGAGCAGTTAATGAACAAACAACCTGCTTAAATGAGCAAATGACTCATCTGAGTCTTTTGATAGCAACACATTGAAGGATAGTGCCCTCTATGTGTTTACTTGTTACAAGGTTTTAATGTGTTATAGGTTTACAAACAGTATCCTTCAGATACATTGGCACCCTTTGTAAACATTAAAAGGAATGGTATTTTTACTTAGTTACATTTTTATAATTTACGCTAAGTTCCTAGTACTCTTTTTGGGTTAGAGGTGGTTCAGCTCTTGTTCTGCTTTACTGCTGCTCACACTTCTCAATTTGGAGCTTTGGCATTGTATTTTAGACCACAAAGAAAAGAATTAAGCTGCTAAAACATTGGTTTCTGTCCTGATAGATGATGGGTGCCTTAAAACGTTATACTGCAGTTCTATAAATTAATCAGTACTTAAGTTGTCTTTTCAGCAACTTAAGTATTGATTAACTGCACTAGCAACATTTTTACTGAAGGATGGGTTAAGGAAACTCTACCTGGCATTGCCTGGACATCAGTTTTTACTGAAAACATTAGTTTTAGAGTACATTTTAAAGCTTTTAATAGCTGTATTTGTTCGTCTTTCCCAAGGGTGCCAATAATTCTGGAGAGCGCTGTCTATCAAGACTTAAATATGTTCTTTCATGGCTAATGTTGCTAGGTCAGACAAGCTTTACAGAACACAGGTAAAAATCCCATTCAACCTAATGAGAAACTGTAGAACAGACTCGGTTTATATCACAATACCTACATTTAGAGTCGGTTATTCATTCAGCCTAATGAGAAACTGTAGAACAGACTCAGTTTATATCACAATACCTACATTTAGAGTCAGTTATTCATTCAGCCTAATGAGAAACTGTAGAACAGACTCGGTTTATATCACAATACCTACATTTAGAGTCGGTTATTCATTCAGCCTAATGAGAAACTGTAGAACAGACACAGTTTATATCACAATACCTACATTTAGAGTCAGTTATTCATTCAGCCTAATGAGAAACTGTAGAACAGACTCAGTTTATATCACAATACCTACATTTAGAGTCAGTTATTCATTCAGCCTAATGAGAAACTGTAGAACAGACTCAGTTTATATCACAATACCTACATTTAGAGTCGGTTATTCATTCAGCCTAATGAGAAACTGTAGAACAGACTCAGTTTATATCACAATACCTACATTTAGAGCGGTTATTCATTCAGTCTAATGAGAAACTGTAGAACACACCTCATTATGTTGAGTGGGATTTTTAATGGGATCTCACAACAGTAGCTATGAAAGAACACATTTGAGGAACCTGGGTCAAATAGGTCAATTCTTGCCTTACTACTGATCTTTTAAACTTTATAACAAAGTCTGGGGGTCTTTAGATCTCAGTGACCATAATGTGATTGCAGTGTGAGCTCTAATCAGGCGAGATCTCTGATTGAGAACGTTGTTTACTGAAGGTATTGATGTTAAAACAGTTTTATTTGTCTTGCAGATCTATTGCAGAGCACACAGCGCACTGCTCGGCCAAGTACGTGTCTCTTTATAACAACATCCCTCCCTCCACACACACCTCTACACTCGCGCACACAGGCTTGTTTGTAATGCCTGGTCACATTGGGTTATACATATGCACTGTGTGTATATATATGATAAATATGGAGCCTATTGTTATCCTTACATACAGATTTATATATATGTATCTGTATGTAAAAATAACAATAGGCTCCATATATATTATGTATTTATGTATCTATACTATATGTTATAATAATAATACCCCATATATACATGTAAGTATCAATTTGTAATAGTAATAGGTCTTAATTATATATATGTGTGTGTGTGTGTGTGTGTGTGTATATATATATATATATATATATATATATATATATATATATATATATATATATATATATATATATAAAATAGGCCCCATGTAAATTACACATTGCTGCTGTCGGAACAAAACCTCGTATGTCCAAAATGAAAACTTTACAGGAGCACCAAAAAAACATACTTTACTTTTAATGTAAGTAATTTTGGGACATTTCTTTTCGTCCTATAATCATGAAATGTACACAGAGTGTAAAGGGTAACAGGCATTTTCAAACAAGGTAAAAAACTGAAAAACTACAAAAATGGAGATTTTGTTCCAAAGGCAATTTCCAATTCATATATATATATATATATATATATATATATATATATAATAAATATGGAGCCTATTGTTATCCTTACATACAGATTTATATATATGTATCTGTGTGTAAAAATAACAATAGGCTCCATATATATTATGTATGTATGTATCTATACTATATGTTATAATAATAATACCCCATATATACATGTAAGTATCAATTTGTAATAGTAATAGGTCTTAATATATATATATATATATATATATATATATATATATATATATATATATATGTATGTATTACGTATATTGCTGTTGGAAAAAAAAACACATTTTTCAGTTTTTGATATAATTTGAAAATGCCTGTTTCCCTTTACATTGTATGTAAATTTCATGATGAATTATAGAAATAAGTCTGGTTCCATTGACTTCCATTAAAAGTAAAGTGTGTTTTTTCCTTCTCCTGTAAAGTTACCGTTTTGGAGATACGAGGTTTTGTTCCGATAGCAGGGATATGTAGTATTATATGTGTTATATAAGTATTATAATTGTTTTTCTCTTGAAGTCAGAGCATTTTATGTCCTACAAAACACATTGTGCTTCCATCTATCTTTATATCTCCTCTCTGTCCTCTGAGGCTTCGGGAACATCCTGATACAGCGGAAGCTGAGGGAGGCAGTAGTGTCTGTGTCTGACGTATAATATATAGGGCTATATATAGTGTAAGCTGTAATGAACTGGGTTTCCAAACTTAGATTAAGTGTAGTTTCAGAAAGTGTGTTTGTCCATACTGAGTAAAGACAGGGGGCTTGTTGAACCAGTGACCAAACGGGACGACTCACTGCTGAAAATCCCTTCTGATCTGTACCAGGCTTAATCTGGGTCAGTTAAACCAGTCCAGAGTGTGCTAATGTCCTGCATCTCGTGTAAAAATGCCACTTCCCTACAACATACAAGTATGTATCAGCAATAAGAAATATTAAGCCTCGCGCTTTTTGACCTAAGTATTAATAAATGCATGTAACATAATGGAAGAAGGTGTTCTGAATGTTACATATTAAGTAAGGACCTTTGGTGTCACCATGTGATGTAAAGGTGTTGTTTACATAGTAAAGTGCTCTATATTGCTGTATAATGTTCCACACAGTCATTCTGACAGACTGTAATACACTACAGGAAGTGTAGGGGGCGATATGGCTTCTACTGTTTCATTTAAAAAGCTCTATAATGAGAGTGTCTTGTGTGGAAACCACAGTCATCATAACTGGGCATCTGGGTGCATCTTATCAGACTAAAGTGGGCGGGGCTTATGATATGAAATATGTGGTATATGAATATCAGATGTCAGTATTGGCAGATACTCAGTAATAATGAATAGTAATAAAATTATGTCTGTTATCATTTAAATGAAAACAGACCGCAGACTCCAGAGCGTGCATGCAAAGTTTTACCTGAGCCGACTTGAGGGTACTCCAGTGTACCCCCGAGAGTAACAGGAGACGGCCTGGGTGGGGCTTCAGCCAGTCACATCAACGCAGAAAATGAAGGAGGAACTAAATCGCACATCCAGAGCTGCACAGTCCAGCTCTAAGATTATCAATAAAAGCTGTGTCCCAATTCAGGGGCTGCATCCTCCGAAGGACGCAGTCTACAAAGGCGTGTCCTTCAAAGGCTGCGTAGACCCGTGAAGGCTGAACTGAAATGGTTCAGCAGACGGTCTGCTCTACGGCAGATTTCCATGTTTGCGTCACAGCACCGCTGTTCCCGCCCTCACCACTCCATCATTAAACGCTGCTCCGGTCAAGTTCTTTTAAAGTTCTTTAAACATGGCCGCCATGTTCTCGAATCCTCGCCGGCACCCAGTGAACCTCGGGATATGTTGGCTGGTGAAGGATCCACCCGTCGGATCCTTGAAGGAGCCTTCGGAATGGGACAGCCTAGTCGCACCGCTGAGTCGGCCTTCAAATGCAGCCTCCGAAGGACGCAGCCCCTGAATTGGGACACAGCTAATGTCATTGATTTGTAATATTTCCATTGTCGATTTTTAAGTCACATTTCAAAGAGACGTCCAACCCAGAGTGCGTTAACGACTCAACCTGAAGAGGGCAGTGTTTCACTTACATTGTGAGCAGATAGCGAAAGAAAAAGAACCAAGTCTGGGAGCATTTTCTTAAAACGAAGGATAAAGAAGTCAGATACAGCATATCGTTGTTGTCGGATCAAAACCTCACATCTCCATATTGAGAACTTTACAGGAGAAAGAAAAACACACTCTACTTTCAATGTAAGTGAATGGAACCAGACTTCCCCCCCTCCCAAGTCATTTTGGGTCATTTCTTTTGGTCCATTCATCATTAAATTTACATACAATATATAGAATCACAGGCATTTTCAAATTATGTCAAAAACTGAAAAATACGAGGTTTTGTTCCGACAGCAATATTTATCATATCACTTATTTTTAGCTATTGTTTATTCGTTACTGTAGCTGGAACTGAGGGGCTTAAACAAAGCGCCATGCTTTTTTCCATAGTGATGATCATCTCTTATTGAGCTCTTATTGAACAGAACCTCAGTTTATTATATTGTTACAACTCATTTAAGCCAGTTAATCGATTATTAACATGAATAAATATTCATGTTTTGCAGCTCTAATCGTAGGACAGCAGCCACCTGCAGTTGCTGCTTCTAAGCATATTGATCTCCACCTACAGACACACCCACAACCAACCAGCCCTGCATATCAGTGCTATTTTTAACGGAAACCCTTGTGCATGCGGCTGTGATTTGTGCTGAGTGTGGTAGGTAGTGAGCGTCCCGCGTTAGTGACGGCTCTGTGTGTGTGTGTGCGTAGGTGCTAAGGGTGGTCCGGAGCTGGACGATGAGGAGCTGGTGAGTCTGAGTAAGAGGCTGGTGGAGGACGCTGTGTTTCGCGCCGTGCAGCAGTACATGGAGGAAACGCAGCAGAACGGAGCGGCGCCCAAAGACGAGGCTCCGCCCCCTCTGACCACCAACAAATGACCACGTGACCTCTGAGCCGGACCCTCACCCACCCACCCCCCGGGCGGAGCGCTGGAGCCACGCCTCCTCCTCCCTGCCTCCGGGCGAGAGAGCGAGTGCCGCGGAGCGAGAGAGTGTGCAGGACTGGCGAGTGGAGGGAAAGAAGAGCGAGCTGGACTGGATCTGATGCTGGACTGCTCCCTGCGCAGCTTTCTGTCTTCGTACAAACGTTAAATCTGCAGCCGTCGCCAGTGTCCTGCCCGAGAGGGCCTTTCTGTTCTTTAATGTTTTTTATTGCTTAAAGTGATAGTTTGGGAGGAGAATCTAAATTTACCCCCCCCGTCTCACCCCAAACGGAATTGATGAGCTACGATATATTTAGTGTCTTAAGTTTGCTTCTTTCTGCCCAGGAGGTTAACGTAGCTAAGTAGTGGAAGCTTATAGCCCACCAATTAGCATGTAGCATACTGCATCATACTAAAACGTGCATCATACAGTGTCAGAAACCACCTGGACTGGGTTGCACCAGGTTTGCCTAAGTTTACACTTAAGTTTAGGGCGTATATCCGCTTATTCAGCCTTCATTGGTTTAGCCCCAATCCCAAATTTATGAGTGTTTTAGCACAGACTTTTTTGAGGCACAATGCAGGGCAGCCAATCAGAACCGATCTCATTTACATATATCAGTCTTAAAAGAACAGCGTAAGGAATGAAGAGAGATTGGGAAATGGTCGTTTGTTTTTGACATGTAAAATCACATACGTTATGGGTCGTTTGAGCTCCATGTGGTTTTTGGTGTGAAGATTTAGCAGTTAGCACCATGCTAATTGGTGGGGCATAAGCTTCCATTGCTTGTTAGCCACATTAGCCTCATAGCTCCAGTAACTAAAGAAGCAAACGTCAGACGCTTCGAACGTGCCTCGGCTGATGGGCTACTTTTGGCGAAAGGGAGGAAACCGGGTGAACTTGGTTCGTTGCTGAATTATCACTTTATTGATTGATTGGACAGAGAGCGAGTGAGGGGAAAGGGATAGAGAAAGAGACGAGGAGATGGTGGTTTCACTTCACAGCACCTTGAGTGAATACGATGAACAGATGATCCCACACACACACACACACACACACACACACACACACACACAGTGCTAAACTCTACTAGCGTCTGGGCTCTTGCTGGAGGCCAGTGCTGTTGCAAAGACAATCAAAGCTGCTTTCTCAGCACAAAATCAGTAAACATACAGTGAAAACTGAAAATGAACTGCATCTCTGAACCACTTCAGTCTCCAAAACCGGGACGATTACAGAACTGTGGACTTCTGCAGCTCCAAAGAAAATAAATGAATTCAGACTTTGTTACTTAATATATATGTGTTTGTGTTTGTGTGTATGTTTGTGTGTGTGTGTGTGCGTGTTACAGAACTTCTCGGCAGGTGAAAAGATCTGAATGTTGGCGATACATAGCTGTAAGTTGGAACAGCTTCTGGTCAAATGACATGTTTTGATTTTCCTAGTAAAACGTAACTGAACACATCCTCCACAGAGACTCTCGAATGTGAATTTTCCTGCAAAATTTAATGCACAATTTCTACTTATTTACTGAGTATAACACATTAGAAAAAGGATAAATGTGCCAAAACTTTTGCACAGGCCATGTTTTGTGTTTTATTATTTTTCCAATATGTACAATTCAGCAATTAAGCAGTAAGTGTTCATTAAAATGTGCAGTAGTGTGTCTCTGTAGAGGATGTGTTCACTTATTCACACTCAGAAAATCAATAACATGGAATTTGACCAAACATTTGCATACAACTAAATATATATTATATATATATTTTATAATTTTACTTCCTCCAAACATTATTTCTTGAGATAAGCTAAATTCCACTAGATAAAACAAAGATAAAAGTCTACAAATAAACTGAATAATCTTATAATATTCTTACAACTGTCTCATAATGATAACAATCTCATATATATTTAGAACGTTTTCTCTTGCCAGGATGTGACTGGATTGTGCGTGTGAACCTCTGGTGATGTTTGTCTGAAGCTGTTTTGATTGTGAAGGGTCGCTATGATGTTCTGAACCACTATACCCTGTTGATTTGTTTTGTTTTGTTTGTTTGTTTGTGTAGGCCGTGTTTATGATGCACGGCTGGTGGAGAGGATGCTGCGGTCAGAGAGAGTGTGTGTTCAGAGGCGCGTGAAGGACTTTAAGACACTATTAGAGCAACCAGCAGTCCGAGCACTCATCACACAGGAGCTGAGCCTCAGCAGCACAACAACAACACAACAACAATAAACAACCAACCTACAAACTGAACTCACACACAGACACACATTTCCTCACAAACACCTCCAGATTGGCCGATACACACATGGAGAAAACCTAACAAAACACTCCACGCTCATTTACAGATAAACACAGTGAAGACTATTGAGTAGGGATGCACAGTGATATCGGAATTTTATCCGTATCGTCAGATATTCGCTTTAATATAGTTATTGGTGTCAGACTGATGTTTAGATTTTAAGCAATTTGACCAATATTCCCAAATCAGATATCATGGGCCATCAATTCCTATATCAGATATCGGCGTCAGCCCACAATTCCTATATCTGATATTGGCGTCAGCCTGTAATTCCCATTTCAGATATTGGCATCAGCTGAGAATAGCCATATCGGATTTCAGTATTGGCCCATGATTCCCATATCAGATATCAGCATCAGCCTATAATTCCCATATCAGATATTGGCATCAGCCCATAATTCCCATATTGGAAATTGGCAGTAGCCCATAATTCCCATATTGGATATTGGCATCAGCCCATAATTCCCATATTGGAAATTGGCAGTAGCCCATAATTCCCATATTGGATATTGGCATCAGCCCATAATTCCCATATCGGATATTGGCATCAGCCCATAATTCCCATATTAGAAATCGGCATTAGCCCATAATTCCCATATTGGATATTGGCATTGGTTGGCAATTTTCTTACCTCAGCATAGGCCCACATTTTCCATGTTGGATCCCGGCATCGGCCCACAAGTCTAATATCGAATATCAGAATCAGCCCACAGTTCTCATCCTGGATATCGACCCACTGTCCTGTTATCAGATATCAGCATCAGCACACAGTTCTCATATCAGATGTCAGCACAAACCCACTATTCCCATGTTGAATATTGGCATCAGATGACAATTCCCAGATACTAATATTGGATTTAGCCCACAATTTCCATATTGGATATTGGCATCAGCACATTTTCGATATCAGAAGCAGCCGATTTGGGATATTGGCATCGGTGCGCAGTTCCCATATTGGATATCCACATCAGCCCACAAGTCCCATATCAGATAATAGCATCAGCCGACAATTTCCCACGTCGGATATTGCCATTGGTTGACAATTCCTGTATCAGGAATTTTGCATCATCCCGTATTATCAGTGCATAATTCCCATATTGGTGCATCCCTGCTTTAGACATTTAACTGGACACTCTGAAGCTTGTTGCTAACACACACACACACAAACACACTGAACAACAACCAGCAGCCTAGACGCTGATACAGACGCACGCTGGACAGAGAGACTTTTTAAAAAGGTTTATCTGATCATTTGTTTTTAAAGGAAGATATAATGAATTTGAGTTGACTTCAATGGGGAATAATGAGCTATATTAGCTGGATGAATTTGAGTTGAATCTACAATAAGTGGATGAATCTGATAGATTTTTTTCTTTGCGCTCTTTGTCTCCACTTCCAAAGTGACCTTAATCACCCCAGTCGAACAAAAGGATCTTCATGTTCCACCTTATGACACCTTTCTGTTTACTTCTTTTTATATTTTTGTGTTCAATGCTGCATCTCTTCACCAGATCCTTAAACCGAAGCTTCATTTTTTAAAGAAATTATGTTTGTGTCTGCTGTGGTGAACTTTCTGTTCGTCTACACACAACGAACGATATATTAAAAGCAAAATGAAACCAAGATGTCACCATCCCGCCACTTCCTTCACTGTTTCATCTTTTTCTCTTTTTTTTAATCTAAGAAATCCGTAGTATGTGATTTAACCGCAGACTCGCCGTGTGAGTCACTCTCTGTGGTAGGTGTGGGTGGGTTGGGGGTGTATTAATAAAGAGTTTCGGATTCTTTTTTTTAATCTTCTTTGTCTTGTATGGTGGTCTGTTCTATGTTTAGCGGCAGACGCCGGCTCCTCACGGTCATTCTGAGCTCACTCTGCCTCCTACACTCTGCCGGGTTTAATCTATTTTTCGCCCTGTCCTCCGAAGCGGCCGGTTCCGCTGCTGTTAAAATTATCTGCCAGAAAATGAATAAGCTCGAGTAAAGGCTGAACACGAGTGCTCCTTAGCACTTCTTAGACTGAACCATATCTAAACAAGGCAAGTTTATTTATATTTCATACACAAAGGTCATTTGAAATGCTTCACACCAGGAAAAGCAAAATATAAACAGCTGAAAGCTAGGAAGGAAAGATGAATTGAAAAGAAGTGCAAAGTCTAGATAAAAGTGCTTAAAGAAACACTTTGGGCAAAATTCAAATGCACTATATGGACAAAAGTATTGGGACACACCTCTTAATTATTGAATTCCGGTGTGTTGCTCAGTCTCATTGCCACAGGTGTATAAAATCAAGCAGCTAGCCATGCAGCCTGCCTTTACACACATTAGTGAAAGAATGGGTCTAAAGAGCTCAGTGAATTCCAGCGTGGTGCTGTAATAGGATGCCACCATTGCAGCAAGTCAGTTTGTGAAATTTCTTCCCTCCTAGTTATTCCAGGATCAACTGTGAGTGGTGTTACTGAAAAGAGGAAGCGTTTAGGAACCGCAGCAACTCAGCCACGAAGTGTCCAACCATGTAAAGTTACAGAGCGGGTCACTGAGTTCTGAGGAGCATAGAGCATAAAAGTCACCAACGCTCTGCTGATCAATAACTGCAGAGTTCAACCTCCTCTGGCATCAACATCAGCACAAACACTGAGCACCAGGAGCTTCATGGCAGGGTTTCCATGGCCGAGCAGCTGCACACAAGCCTTACATCACCAAGCACAATGCCCAGCGTCGGATGGAGTGGAGTAAAGCGCCGCCACTGGACTCTGGAGCAGTGGACACGTTTTCTGTGGAGTGACCAATCAGCTTCTCTATCTGTCAGTCTGATGGACGAGTCTGGGTTTGGCGAATGCCAGGAGAACGTTACCTGCCTGACTGCACTGTGCCAGCTGTAGAGTTTGGTGGAGGAGGGATGATGATATGGGGCTGTTTTTCAGGGGTTGGTCTAGAACCCTTAGTTCCAGTGAAGGGGAACCTTAATGCTTCAGCACCAAGACATTTTGGACAATTCTACACTTCCAACTCTGTGTGAACAGTTTGGGGAAGAACCTTTCCTGTTCCAGCATGACTGAGCCCCAGTGACCAAAGCAGCTCCATAAAGGCCAGGCTGGGTGAGTTTGGTGTGGAAGAACCTGACTGGCCCTCACAGAGCCCTGACCTCAACCCCATCAAACACCTTTGGGATGAATTAGTACGGAGATTGTGAGCCAGACCCTCTCGTCCAACATCAGTGTCTGACCTCAGAAACACTCTTCTGGATGAATGAGTGAAAATTCCCACAGACTCTCTCCAACATCTTGTAGAAGCTTCCCAGAAGAGTGGAAGCTGTTAGAGCTGCAAAGGGGGAGCAACTCCATATTAATGCCTATGGATTTAGAATGGGATTCATAAAAGCTCCTGTAGGTGTCCCAATAGTTTTGTCCATATAGTGTAGTCTACATCTGATGTAAACATGCCTACTTGGCTCCCGCAGTGGAGCTGCAGTAGTCTATGGTGGGATGAAACTACGGCTGCTTTGGAGGCGAACTGTTTAAAATGGTAATGCTGGCTTGGTTGTATTTATTAGCCTGTAGATTAATGGCTTGGCCAAGCAGTCATGATTGGGTGACACCACAGGGATTCCCAATTTCCCAGTGGTTCCATGATGTATTTGCATAACGCATGCTGGGTATTCTAATGAAGGAACACTGATGAAAGAAAACGAAAGGATAAAATCAGGAATTCTCTCAAACCAGTGAGGGATACTAATTACATATTACACAGTACTTTTTTCTGCCAAAATGCCTTTTAAGAGTCAAAAGTAAGTAAAGAAATAAGTTTCTTTAGTGTGGATGTAAATACAGCCAAATTTGAGGAAGGTTTAGGACGGCTGCTCAGGCCTACACACTTAAAAAGATGGTTCTTCAAGGGTTCTTTACTAAACAAAATGGTCCTATATAGAACCATGAACACTCAAAGAACTCTTTGCATGTTTAAAGGGTTCTTTGCACGGTGAACTCATTCTTCAGATTGATGGAGAACGTGCTGTAGATGGTTCTTCGTAAAACCTTTTTTGAAAAGTGTTCTTATATTGTTACAAGCTTGACATCCTAACAACAGAAGAACCTTTAAAATCATCTTCAGCACATTCCCCATCTATCCAGAGAACAAGATCATCATGCAAAGAAACCTTTAATCATGCAAGGGATTCTTTAAGTGTCCATGGTTCTATATAGAACCGTTTTCTTTACTGAAGAACCCTTGAAGAACAATCTGTACTTTATTTCTGAGTTTAGCCTCTAAAGTATACGCTGAATTAACTGACTAACTAAAAATCACATCAAAACACTGAACTATAATCAGACGCAGTATCTGATTATATCATCTTAGCGCTCAGCTCATAGGTGGTGTTGCCATAAATATAGTCAATACTGCAAAAACATTTTTTTTCCCTTTTAGTCCAATTATGCCACATTTTGTGGATTTATTTACCAAAAACAGTCAAAATTCATTTCTACATTACCATTTTACAGCCTCTCGTCATCTCTTTGAATTAAACAGGCTGTTTTTCTTACTGTGCCTTTAATGCTGATATATGTAAATGAGCTCTGTTCTGGCTCAAAAAGCAGCCCGGCCTGAAACACTCCTTATAACTTCAGCGTGAGTGGGCGGGGCTAAACTGCTATAGGCTGAATAGGAGGATGTATGTAAATGTGTTGTTTTTCGTGGCATCACAAAAACAAAGAATGCAAAATGGTCTGTTTTTGCAGCTCAGTTTCCATATATGGACTGTATGGACTGGGCAGTGAACGGCACTTTGAAACAATACAGTGTTTACATACTACATCAAACTGTTTTATGTTAAAAAAAAAGACATGGAAAATTCAGTTTTCCACAATATAGGCCAAAAAAGAGGCCTGGAGTCGCCTCGAGTGGAGTTGTGGAACTGTGTGTAGCCTTTATTGGTTGTTTTTATGGGCCATTAATATGGACACAAAGAAGAGCTGCAGGCAGTTTCTGTGTGTGCTGTGAATTAGCGCTCTGAAACTGAGCCCTAACATTAAATCTAAAAAAGAAAGAAAAGGCTTTAAAGAGCTCATATCGTACAGAATTGAACAGTCCTTACTTTTTGAACTAAAAGAGTTTGACGTATTATATAAACATTGCTGGCTTACAAAATGGACCATTCACTCAGCCACTGAAGATGAGCCTCCACTAAATTCCCAAACTGTCAGTTGGTCTGAGTGGAGCTGGAGAACGAACTGCCGGCTGTGCAGCGAGTGGGCGGAGTTCGTTACTCTGACGTAGCAACGAGCTGCTCGTTAAGGAACTATAATTTGGTGAAGGAACTGCGAACATTAAAACATATTAAACGCCGCGTTCACAGCCCAGTTTATTAATTTATTACTTTATTTATTTAACTGTTGTATTAAAGCAGTAGAACACTCGAGGAGTGTGTTATCACCAATAACATCATGGCTGTGTTGATCTACAGCCACCAAATCACAGCCGTGATGTTATTCCGCAATAACACACTCCCTCTGTGTTCTATTCCTTAAATGTCCACCTACTCAGCCAATAGCAGTTTTGTCCTGCCCATTCACTTGAATTCATAGTTCAAGTTATAAGGAGAGGAGTTATAAGTGTATTAGCTTGGACTGCTTTTCCACAGAGGCACAGCCAATCAGAGCAGATCATGTATTTGCATATATGAGTCTTAAAGGCACAGCAACAAAAGCAGCTTGTTTAATTCTAAGGGATAAAGAGAGGCTGGAAAATGAGAGAAATTCATATACAACACAAATATAGACGTTTTATTAACTATCCAGAACCACCAGTGAACTTACACGAGTCTTCTGAGTTTATATGGAATGTTGATGATGGTAAAATAGTAAAAAAAATCTAAATACATTTTACTTGGGCACTATTTTGCCTTACAACGCCCTGCATGTCTCCCTCCGCCATGAATGGATTAAAATGAATGGATTAACAAGACTTTTTAGGCCAAAACATTCATCAAAAAACTATCGTAAAACAGTGTCTCAGTCATCAGGCAGTGAATTCATAACCATTTCATGTAGCAACTTTCTGTGAAGGAGCTTTTAGAGGTGGACGTCTGGTTCCTATCACCACCACTGTGAACAGTTCCGACTGTAAGTTTCTCTAGAATAGAGCGTTTCACACCAAACCACTCTGAGTGACTTTATTGACATCTCAACCCTTTAATTATATGGAACTTTTGAAGAATTGGTGGAGTTCCCCTTTAAGATGCCAGCACACCTATTGCACGTATTTAGCACTTTATAACCAAGATTACCAGGTGAGCTGTAAAAGAGCGAAAACGTGAGCTGGGATTGGGTTCGGCAGGTTAACTCTTGGGCCACACGTGTCCCTCTGACTGCTGTTATCACGGTTTTATGTTCACACATGGCCAAAGAGTCCAGTCACACCTCTGTTCTTATCTGCTCTGTTGGGAGGATGCAGGAGAGAGGCCGTATATCACTAAGCAGTGTGCGCTGAACAGCCTGCCTATCTGTAAATTATAGCAGCTGTAAAATCACACTTTTTACAGGAGGTCAAAGTTCACTGTTTCTGCAGAATTCACCTCCAGCCCTCGCCTGGATCACCCGGCTCTGACATGCAAGGGTCTGTTTTATGGAGAACGTAGTGTTGTAAAAGCATGAGTGATGATAAAGTGCAGACCAGCTCCGCTCCCGGAACTTTTGTTTATAAGACTCAAATTGTAGTAAGTGCTGTCTGAATGGTGATAAAAACACACATATCCCAGAACACCACACTCTAAACTTTGTAACAGTTCAGGAGGGAAAAG